ATGGCTGCCCCCCCCTCCCCCCAGCAGACCAGGGAGACGCGGAGCGGCTTTTCTCGCCGAGGATGATGCGGGCGGGACCGCTGTGGCGCGTCTCGGCGGTCTGCTGGCGGGGGGGGGCAGCTAGTTCAGGGTTCCCTCACCCCATTCGTAAGTAGGATCTGACATAAGTCGGATCCACGTAATCCGGGGACTGCCTGTACACAGCACAAAACGGCTATATTTGGGTTTCTATATTTCTATTTTAAAATATCCAGAAGCTAAATTTTAGCGTGAACTACTTGATAGTGGCCTTTAAAGCAAGTTTCCTTTATTTCAAATACTAATCAGAATAACTTTAGATTCTGCTCTGGTATAGGAAATTTTTTTTAAATAATCAGCCTTTTCTTTTTTTTCCTCAAACAGCAAACCCGCTGGATCAGAATCTACACCAAAATCTCGAATCTCAAACCTCCCTCCTGTCAATCCTGACCACATAGGTGGATACAGACTTGCTGCAGCTACATTTGCTGGCATAGAAAACAAGTTTGGGCTTTATCTTCCAAAATTTCGATCTACTGATGTTGCTTCAGTTCTACCTAAATTAGCAGCTGAATCCTGAGATGACCTTTCAGCCTAGTATAATAATGCAACGAAAAGAAAAAAAAAAACACTTAAGAGAGCAGTACTGTATCTAGCCGATCAGCTGCATGTTGCTCCTCCTGAACTGAGAATTCAAGTCAAATCACTACTTCCTATATGATATATAATATGCATTTGTTTATAAATTAATCATCTGAACCCATGAAACAGACTGAAGCTTTAGTTCTGCATTGACTTTTCCCCCTTAACCACTAGCATGAATCAGTAATCTTGACTTGGCTTTGCACAGCTTGCTCTTAATGTTACTGTACATATTGTACATCTTTGTACAGAGACATCATGGCATCTATACACGATTACATTTATATAAAAGGTAGGCAGTTCTAAACAGTTTGATATGTACAGAATGTTTTGAAGGTGTTTTTATTAAGAATCATGTGACAATAAAATATATTTCAAGTCATTTCATTTTCTCATATTTGTGTTCTTTATAAAAATAATCAGATATTTGGTGTATTTATACCTTTTTTTAAGGTAAAAAAGGGACTATTACAGTGTAGCATGACATGTTTTAGGGAATAAATGAAGATGTTATCTAATAAAGGCAAAGGTACAAAGATGACAGGAGGCTACAGTACTGGAAATGTAGGTGTGTATGTGAGGAGGAGTGCTTGGAAACTGTAGGAATTACCCAGATATTCACGGTAAAGCTGATTAGTAACTTTTTAATAATTCTGAATTCCAGGATATCCTGTTTAAATGTAGTGCGATTTTATTATCAGTTATAAGTGAGCACTCTCAATAAATGTATCCTGTAAATATATATCTGAATATCAAGTTGAATAAGTCCAGAGCTTAGTTTTAGTATATTTGAATGAAATAATTGCCAGGATATGTACTGCTAGTTTGACGGCAAGTCCCCAAAGTGTCATATTTGTAAGTAACTAACAAAAGCCCTTGGCCTAAGTTACTCTTGATTTACCTGTTGGCTACGTCTACACTGGCCCCGATCCTCCGGAAAAGGGCGCTTTTTCCGGAGGATCGGGGCCAGTGTAGACGCTCTTTTCCGGCTTTTCTAAAGGCCGGAAAAAAGCGGCGGACATTTTTATTTAAATGCCGCGGGGGGGATTTAAATCCCCCGCGGATTTCCCTACTACGATAGTTGAAATTAACATGCCCCTTCCGGAAAAGGGGCCAGTGTAGACGCTCTTTTCCGGCTTTTCTAAAGGCCGGAAAAAAGCGGCGGACATTTTTATTTAAATGCCGCGGGGGGGATTTAAATCCCCCGCGGATTTCCCTACTACGATAGTTGAAATTAACATGCCCCTTCCGGAAAAGGGGCCAGTGTAGACGAGCCCGTTGTGTTCAGTGGAATTGCTTAGGGATAAATTTGGTTCCTTGCATAGTCTAGGAAATCTATCACATACAAGTTGGATTGGTGAATATTCATGTCTCCTATATTCAGATCTCTCTCTTAAATAGATTACAGTTTCCATTTTACTATGATTGTGCCTTCACTAGTGGTACAAAGTTTGTAGTAATGTGCAGCATGGGAAAATCGTATCCCTGCTGCCAAGGAGTTAACACCTGATCTTCACTGCATGAATGTGTGCAAACATCTCTTGGTACCGTCTTGCTGATTTACAAAGCTGCTCTATATTTGGCACAGGAGATGCCTGTAGCTTTAGAATAGGAGTGGGAAATCCATGGCTCACGGGCCAAATCTGGCCCATGAAACAGGCTGAATCCAGCAGAGTGAGCCGAGCTCTGGAGGGGCAAGCCTTGTGGGCTAGATCCAAGCAAGCTATGGTTGGCGTTCGGCCTATGGGCTCTACTGAGATTGCCAGACAGTGGGAGTAATGAGGGGCAGTGCCAGCCAGCTCAAGATAGCATAGAGCTACCTGTACCCACCCCAGGCGCTGCTCAGGTAGGTACCCTCATCCCTTGCCCCCTTCCACGCTCCCAGACCCCCACCCAAACCCTGTGCTCTGCATCCCTTACCCTCTTCCTGCACCCCCTCCCACTCAGCCTACTCCTGCAGCCTACTTCCTGCCCAGATTCCTCACCCTGTTCCTGTACCCTTCCTCCTGCACCCTCCCTCCTGGCCAACCCTGCACCTCCACCTCCAGCCTGTTCCCTGGCATCCCCCTCCCACATACTGAACCCAGAACCCCCAGAAGAGTTAATCTTGCTCAGGGAGAAGCCCTGAACCTTGGCACACCCCCCCACACACTGCGGGGATGAAGTGCAAGGGGAACCCTGTTATACAAGTGAGGTAAACGTGTCTCCCTTATTTTTTCCTGCTTATCAGTTGGGGGCCATGTCCATGAGGTGTTTTTTCCCCACGCTTCTCACTTGTGTGTGACCCCCAACTGATTTTAATGTGAGTCGGTAGCTCCTGATCCAAAAAAGGTTCCCCATTCCTGATTTACAGCATATATTTTAACCTCCTGCCTCCTGGCTTTGTGAACTTGAGGTATGTAAGAAATAACCATTTGAAAATACTTGCTCAGGGAGGAGCTAAGTTCATTTTTGGTAGGAGAAAGGTGGCAGTTTTTCAAAATCTCTTCAAGTTCCAGAAAAAATAAAATGAAGACACTTGGTGGCATTCCAGTCTTCTACACTGAGAAGATTTTTGGGTTCTTTGAAGAAAAAAATTGTGTAGAACTTTTGCCTTAAGTAGATTTGCCCAATTAAAAGCCCTGGTGGACAATTTTGCTTTTGGAGCAAATGCAAAACACCAGCCAGAGAAAGAAAAAAACAAGAGTCCCTGTTCATAGTTATAATTTATCACCCCAACTGTCATAAGGTTGCTGGTCCCTGTAAGAAGAGCGGAACAAGTGCCCCTGTATATCAGAGAGGCAATTGAGCCAATTAAAAGAGGCAGGACTACACCTGGGGCTGTAACAGCCTGAGAGGGGGAATGATTGGACAGCTGTGCCTGGCACCATAGGAGAAAGAAGCTAACTTCTGTGGTGGAGTCATGAAGCTACTGTCCTAGATGAGCTGGCTGGCTGGCTGGCTTATCAGAGACCTCTGGGAGGAGAGGCTGTGAAGCCTAAGACAAAAGGTGAGCAGGACTATTTTCTGTTGGTTTGTTGGCTTATGTTTGGACAAGAAACCTGATTAAAGGAGGCTGGGTCTGGCAGTGTATGCGTATTAAAATAGGGAGAATAGTTTTTGAATAAAACTCCCCTTGACTGCAACAGGAATTGGGTGCATGTTCACCAGGCCTATTATGGTGAAAAGTCTTGGGGTAGCTGTGTTAGTCTGTATCTGCAAAAACAAGGAGTCCTGTGGCGCATTAGAAACTAACAGCTTTCTAAGTGCATAAGCTTTCATGGGTAAAACTCACATATGTGATGAAGTGGGTTTTACCCATGAAAGCTTATGTCCTAATAAATCAAACCTCTTATGAGGCACTCCTTTCCTAGGCTTCAGTTAGAATATATTTGTTGTTGCAGTTTGCCCAGGTATAGACTCCATAGGCAGCTCACACTCCTATACCTTCACATTTTGTTCTGCTCTATGAAAAGAATACACTTGCCTAAGGAGTAGAAAAATGCTTGGTACCCACTGGCATTTAATCTTCGTCACAGCTTGTTGACTGACTTGAGTTCTAAAATAGTGATTGGACAGTGAGGCTCCTGGGATGATCATTTACAATATCTAGCATCCTGCAACTGGCCTGCTGCTCCCTCTCTTACTGCAGACATGGGGTTGACGGAAGAAATCCTGCCCCCTCCCCCCTGCATCCTCTTTCATTCCCTAAATGTTAGAAGGGATGGGATTGTGAATGCAAATGTGGTTTGGGAGGAAAAAAGAAAATGGTTATAAATGGCTTGAAGCTCTGCTTCCAGTTTTTAATACTAATAACCATTCCAAACGATACCTAACCTGTGGCTCCAGATCCATGCTGGAGCCTTTCAAGACTCATATTCATACCCAGTTCTTAGCAAAGTCCTTAGGAGCAAGAACTAGTTTATTGTGTGTCAAACAATTTCTTCTAATTCTAGATTAAAATTGTTTAGAGTAGAGAGGGAGGGGAAAGAAAACTACCCAAATGTATTTAAATTCCAGTAGAATCTGTAAGGCTGTGCTCTGCTCACTACAAATTCCCATGCCTGGAGGATGAAAACTATCACATGACATGCCTGTTCTTTATGCAGTCCCCATGTGTTTCAGCTAAAGGAAGCACTACTATGGTAAGGTTGGTAAAAATGTATAGGGCAAATGTCAAATTGAACAGCATGATTTTGGATTGAAAATAGAGGGCGTATTTGACAAGACAAAACTGATGGAAACCTGAGGTTATTTCACTTTCAAATCAGTTGAGCAAAGATCACCTCCTGAAGACATAATTCCCATTATAGTAGCCTGTATTCATATGAGCTTCACTCATAATAGAATTTTTTTAATAGCAAGAATTGGCGAGAGAACTTCTGGTTATAGCATAGATTAAATAGCAACACGAACCTGTTGGTTCTCTTGGCATAAGTAGGATTGTAGAAGAGATTTAGAACAAATGGCATTAAAGAAACTTAGAATGTTCTCTGATACTTATGCTTGGAAGGTGATTTTGACCCATGTAGTAGGGGAGAGCTGGTTAAAGCATTTTCAGCTAAATGTTTTTTCAGGTGAGTGGTGTGTGTCTGGTGTATTTTGTTTTGTGTTTTGTTTTGAACGTGCTTTGTTGAAGCCAAAACATTTTGTCAAGTGTGGGGGAAAAAAATAAGTCAAAACTAGAGATGTTAAAATGTGTGTTTAAAACCATGTAACTGCTGAAAATGTCAGTGGTTACAGGTTACACATTAGGGGCAGGTAGCTTCTACCTACTCCTCCATGCTGCTGCCTCTGATAACAGGCAACTCCCCGGGAGCCAGTGCACAGTTCCTCATATGTATTGGGAGCCTGTGTGTAACCACCCCGGGTGCATTGGTTAACCATGTACAGAGTTACTTTCACACCCCTGGTCAAAACTTTGCAAGTTGTGAAACAACTGTCGTTATCCAGCAGTTGCTGTTTAGCATAGGGCTCTGGAAAACTACTCTGATGG